ATATATATATATATATATATACAGAGAGAGAGAGGGAGGTTCAAACGAGAACAATAACCAAATAAAAGAACACGAAAACGACCAAATCACGTGATTTTACACTAACGGTCAACGCAAGGGTGTGCGGGCGACGTGGCTCGCAACCTCAGGTTGCGGCCAAAGTCGTGTGAATCACATGTGATTTTACACGTGATTTTAGTGTAAAATCACATGTGATTCGACCGTTTTCTTTCACTTATTTAGTTACTATTCTTGTATGAACTTGACGCTCTCTATATATGCATACACAACTCAACATATTATATGTGTTGAATAAAAATATATAAGAACAATGATGTCCAAGTCCAAATAAAAATAATTGAACAATGTGAATACTTTTATTCAAAGCCAGAGGTCAAAGCGATAGTGTCCAAATCTGAAAAAATAAGAATGATGAAGCCTTGGTATTGTTGGACTAAAATAAAACCCAATGCAGGTCCAAAATAAGAGCCCACAAGGTTCATTTTTAACACCAACACAGTGTGGTTATGCGGCTGCTTTTTGTGTTCAAAATGTGGTCATTTAGCATTCAATAGTGCTGCTAATCGTGGGATCGCTATTTCAGACCACTATTTGACCATCGCTATTTGTCCCATGACTGCGAACCGCGATAGCACCGCTATAGTGGCGCAATTAACAGCTTAGCTTACAAGTGTAGTTTTCTTTGCATTGGTGGCATCTTGGAATAGCCATGGCACTTATGTGGTAAAGATGTGTTAGATAATGGGGTTTTAGCCTATATTGTACATGCGTCTGGGTTTTGTCTTTGATGTATCATATATTCAGTTTATGGTATCTTTGGGTTTTTGTCTTTGATGTATACAGAAAGTTAATGTCTATCTACCATTGTCAACCTGTCACCAGCCAATGACAATGGTATATTTATGGTGTAGTGGAATGTCAGAGAGCCAGATGTGGTGTGAACCATGATGAACCATTCTCTTCCTAGGGAGCTTGGAAGTTGTTTAGTTAGTCTCCAAGTCAAGTGATGTCCTATCGGCTATGCGTAGTGTGTTAGTTAGGCTTCATATGTTGGGCATAATGGGCTCCACATTTGAAGAGTATTTCACTCTGTTCAGGGGGTGTATGGTTGTTACTTGATTTATATTCATTGTACCTATAGTACCAAACTAACCAACCAGTAAATCCCATGCAAAGGTAGGGGGGTTATGTACGCAGAACTTGCCTCTGTGAGGATGTGAGGGAAATAGGTTAAACAAACATGGAAAAAACAGAGCGTGGTACCCAGTATTGACAACTGCTAGTACAGGAAGTAGTGTACAGGACTTCCCTTGTAGAATTTCTCTTTCAGTTTTAGATGGGCTTTCTTGTCACACACACTGAACTCCTATGGCAGCTCTACACCTTAACTCACTGTACCTATAGTGATCAAGTTATTTCCTATATGTGTACCACCCCTATCGATAAATTCTTCTGTCTTCAGTGAAATGTTTTAGCTCCAGTTCTATAATATGTTATAGTTACCTTGATTTGAGAGGCTATATTACAGGGAAATAAGACATGGTGATTCAGACAGAATATTTAGTGCAGTTATTGCTAGAAATAGGAGCTTAAAAAGTTCTATTATCTAGATTATTAGGAAGATCATAGGGACCTCTGGTTTCACTGGAGAACTTCAATGAAACTTTTCTTTCTCGAAGTTCCTCTTTCGTCTTAGGTGCAGTTGACTTCTGGTACTCCTTTGGCACAATCACGGAAATCATGATCATGTGATTGTATGATAGGTAAGGGAATGTTATGTTTAACACACTACACAGTCAACTCTTGGAATCACAAAAATAGTTCATTATGTCCGTTGGTGGTGTAGAAGCAACTAGAATGGGTACGCCAGATTCTTGTACGATGTACTTTACCTACAATTCCAAATAATCTTATTTTTACTGGTCAAGTAATAGAAAGCTTGAAATAATTGTACATATCCTTTGCTACTCATTATGTTGTTAAGGAGCTGGGGATGTACAAGTTAAATAGATATTTTTGTCGGGTGGGACACCTCTTTTTTAATCATAAAGCAGTTAAGATTGGAATTTAAGTATATTTCAAGTTGTTTTGTGAGTCATGTTAGGGAAGTACTTGTGTGTTATCTACCTAGGAGCATAACTGGAGTTGAGGTTGTCTTTTGCTTTAGTTCATTCTGATTTTTTTGGTTTATGTCTTATTGAGGCTGCATTAGATTTCAACTACTTTGTCACCTTTGCATGTGATTTTCCATGTATGACATAGTTTCAGAAAATCTTGAAATCTCTTTTATCGTTTGTGAAATTTGTGCATTAGTGACAGCTTGATTAGTACTTTGATTAACACACTTTGAAATGATAATGATATGTAGTAATTTATATTGGATTTCAATTTCATTACCGGCGTCAAGTATATGAGTTGACGTTTGTTTGATGTGACTAGTACTTTGTCGGTTAAATGCAGTGTTGCTTGTTGTTTCTGGGGTTGATAAGATTCTCACTGCATCCTTCTAAATAGATCACAACCTTGTTTTATTCTGATTGTAGCTTTTGATACAATATTTTATGCTCCTTTGCTACTCTTCCTGTTCCTGCTAAGTAGTTGGGGATGTGCATTCTCTTCACAATTCTCGCTCAAGTGGAACTTGTCTCTTAAGTTGTCTGAAATTTGTCTCACATGTTTAAAAGGATTATTGATACAATAGTTTTGTGTTTAGGAAGTAAACAATTTATGCCGGTTTTAATGAGGTGGGTTCCTGCTTCTAATCTCTTATTGAGGAGTAGGTTTATTATCAAGTCCCAATCAAAGACAGGATATTAATGTATAGGAACAACTTCTATTTGGGGGAAGAACAAGCCACAAGAAGGGGTTTTTTATTAGCAATGATCCTTCCTTTTCCTCCTCATAAATCTCAGGATGTTCTCAACATCCTAGTCTATTTTCCTGCCATTACCGACTCTCCAATAAAGACCAATTCTGTATTGATTTTTCTCCAACTATATGATTGATCTTTCAAATCCCTACTTCCATGTCCATGTAACGCTTATTTTGGATATGCTGCCTCTTTGAACTTTGGTTCAACTTTACACGGATCAACCACCTGCATTTGTTATTTCGTAGGAGACTTTGACGTTCTGTTTCCTTTGAGGGTCTTTCTTTTGCTCACAAACAGCCTCTTGGAACTTGGCTTGGTTTGGTGGTTTCACATGTCTTAAAGGTATACTATCTTCTACAAATGATGTGGGGGAGAAGGATTATTCTGGTGGGTTATGGTACAAGTGGATTACTTCAACTCTTTTTGAATTTGATTCAGTCATCACTATGTTTAATCGATTTATTGGGCCTTTCTAGCCAATGAATTACTTCAGTCGCCACTTCAAGATAATATTCTGATTATTTATGATCCACTTATATTCCTTTTTATCTTTTATTTTGTTGTGGAAAATGTTGTGTGCTGCATCGCATTCCATTGAACATCGTTGCGCTATGTGTTGTGTTGGAAAGACATGCTCCCTTGTAAAGTCTTCGTGCAATTTATTGCTAGCCTTCATTTGATAACATACTTTGGTATGATTCCTATTCTAACCTGGTACCCAATTGTTTGACATGTCACATGTCAGGTATAAGAATCAAATCAAAGTACGTTGCATTTTCATGCAAATTTTCCCTTCTGGAAACTTGAGTTTTTTGTAGTTTGCAATAATGACCCACATATTGGAACATAAGATCTATCATCAGAAACCCATCTCAGTTCAAATATGTGTGAATTTAGCATGTCTATATTGGTTGGTATTGCAGGGAGATGATCCAGCACCGGTCCTACACACAGAAGGTAGATGTTTATAGTTTTGGGATCGTTCTCTGGGAACTGATCACAGGGATGCTTCCGTTCCAGAACATGACAGCGGTGCAGGCTGCATTTGCTGTTGTGAATAAAGGCGTCCGGCCGACCATCCCACATGACTGCCTTCCAGTTCTGAGTGAAATTATGACACGCTGCTGGGATGGAAACGAAGATGTGAGGCCACCCTTCACGCAGATTGTGAGAATGCTTGAACATGCGGAGACAGAGATCATGACCACAGTGCGTAAGGCTCGATTCAGGTGCTGCATGAGTCAGCCAATGACTACCGATTGATCATGTGTGTGGGAGGAGAAGAAGACAGTAAAGAAATGGAAACAATTAATATTATTAGCTGAAAAGGAAGGCATGTGTAGTAAGTAATTAATTTCTTTCTTGAGATAGGGTGAAAAAGAGGGAGAAAATTATGATATGAAGTGAACAACTACTTGTTTTTGTTGGATTCTTTTTGATTTCATGGATTAATGTGTTGCTGAATTAGTAGTAATGAAGGAGATTTTATTTGATGTATTTATTACATGATCTTTCTTGCTGAAACTGCCTTCTACTTTATTTCTATTTTTGGAACTGTCGGTTTCCGAGCTAGCTTACGTGCACCAATAATCCCCCGAGCGACCATGAATGGCTTGGAGAGTCATTGTAGGTGAATTTCCATGGCCACGAGGGTTTTGGCAGATAAAGATCAAATTGTCCGTTAGTTAATTAAAGGTTTAAGAGCTTCTCCAACAAATTCTTTAAATGAAAAACAATTTTTTTGCTGCAATAGATTCTCTAAAATGTAAAAGTAGGAAGGAGGAGATAAAAATCTCTATATCTGAAGAATTCTCTAAAATTAAAAGTTCAAGAAAATTATATTTTTTTGCATATCTATTTCAAAGAATTTGCGCAAATCATTTTGATTATGAAGCCGACAACCTGAAACGACAATATTGTTTCAAAATTTATTTTATTTTCCGTCCCTTTTGATGCTAATTGTATACTTTGTTGTGATTTTAAATCATAAATTAGATGATTTATCAATTCAAAGTTAAAATGTTCTTTTGGTCAAAGATTTTGAAATAATGTTTTTAACCCAAAATATTTGTTGTACTTGCCTTTTAAAGATCAATTTATGCATTAATTAGTGGTTTATAGTTTTTACAACTTGTAATTGAAAAATAAAATGCAAATTTTATGTTTTAATCAAAAAATATGGTAAAAATACTCGAACACCATCTTTGTTTTGATAAAAAAAAAATGATTAAGTACCAGAATATTTCAAAAAGATAGATCGATAGTAAAGTGAAGCAAATCAATTGGACTCTCATGTCCCATATAGGAACTGTTTATGAAAATCAAGTCGATTTATTATAATTGAAAAACAATATGGAACTTTAATCTGGAAAAATGTGGCTTTGTATTAAAAGATGATTTATCACATAGATCGATTGATGTTTCACAATGTTCCTCAATAAAAAAAAAAAACCTTTAACAATCAAATCTAAGAATGATAATAAATAGAAACCAATGCTCTAAAAGGCTCAACACAGCAGCCATCATGGCACGACGTGACACAAGAATCATGTATGACACGACGACATTAAAGCTTATGGCATGCATGGGTCAATACGCAATTTTGTAATGTGGTATTTGATTTTTCTTACGTATTTAGTATCTTTTGGTGAAGTAATGGATAAAAATATAAAGACGTATCTTGATTTCGTGGACATCACAAGGTTCTTATATGTGATAGAGCTCAAAAAGTATGTTGTTAATAACTATACCATGAACATGTACTCAATATTCATTAGTGAACACTATTCACATCGACAACTTATTTATTGGTGAACACTGTCCACCAGTCACACATATATACATATTGAAGTATGTGTTCACTAATGGACATGTTTATATGTGTCGTATTTTCATTGGTGAACACTGTTCATTAGCTACATATTCCATATATGACAAATGTGACGTATTAAACAATGTTCATTAGTTCAGACATTCATAAGTTATATATTCTATATTTTAAAATATTTTCTTTTTATAGGCTTGTAATTATTACTCGGTCCAAATATTAGATTAATAATTGAAGTACTATTACCAAATTCTTAATCAGTTTTAGATCAAATTGGATTGTTTGCAAATTGGATCGGATGGACTTACGTAGCCATATCTTAAATTTTAAGTTTTAATCGATTAAACTTTGTTTTAAAGGGAAAATATCTTTAATTATACTAGAAGAATACTCGCGTAATGCAACGAGATACATCGAGATAATGTTTCGTTTTATTTTTTTGTCTATGATATAATACAGTTTTATATGATTTTGAGAAAATGATAATGTTTATATTCGTAAAAATTTGAAAAAAATATGTCGATATTAATATAAAAATTAACTATTTAAAAATTTTCATTTTTTACGTAATTTCTTTAATTCAATTTTTTATTATAATTTAATTTAGATTTAATAACAAAATAATTTATTTTTGATTTATTAATGTAATTTTTATAAGGATAACAATTAGGTATTCTGTTATAAGTATAATTTAATGATTATCTTAATTATATTTTAGATTTTTTATATTTAAAATGAGATGTTTATCCTGTAATTGATAATATTTATCTATAGTTAGTTACACGAATTCAAACATGTAGCTTTAATAAATTGTATTTATGTATAATTTACTTATAACCTCGAATTTTAAGTAACATGCATCAATAAATAGTACTTCATGCATAAAAAATAGTTTTTATGAGTATTTGTCAAATGTTTTATAATATAGTACAGATAATCAAATAATTTAATTCATAATTTTTAATAAAATTTATTTAGTGTTAAAATTAAAAAATATGATGATAATTTATGAAATTAATAAACATAAGAAAATTATTGAAAGTATATCTGGTTAAAAACTAGGGTTTGCATAAAATTTACCCCAATTTTGTATGGATGTGATTAGTCATGCAGTTGTGAGTACGGTCACCCTGACCCGACCCGTGTATCTTAACCAAAGGAGAGCGACCATACAACATACACATGCAGCGAGAGAGAGAGAACACTGTAATCTTCCTCAACTGTTTGCGAAGCAAACGATCAAAATTCTCTACGTAGTAATCAAGATTTCATGGCGGTAAAATTCTGTTTCCGTAATAATCAAGATTTCATGTCAAGATTTTGAGCTTCCAAAATCAAAATGTTTAATTAATAAGTTTAATGTTTTCATTTGTTTTTGAGTTGATTTTTACAGGACCCCTCCGGGAAGACGTTCATCGATCTGATAAGCTCCGACCCGAAGTCGATATATACACCTTCTTCTACAACGCCACAGCCTTCATCCCCGTCGTTTCAGCTGCCTCGGAGCCCGTTTAAGAAATCGGCATTACCAACATTAATGACCATCGGGGATTGGAAATACAAGAAACCGAATTTGATGCAGATCCAAAACGATGCCGTATCTGCTGCTAAAGCTGCTGTTCGTTTGCCCCAGAAAGATGGGAAAAAGGTGAAATGTTGTATTACATTCTTTTGATTTTTTCATCTATGATAAAATTTTCATTTCAATGTGTGACAATGCTAGTAATTTGCCGCTAGTTTTAGGTAGTGTTTTAATTGAGACTCCAGATAATTTCATTAAAACTGAATCTTGATTCATAAAGTTCGTTTGAACAGCTACTGTAACATAACCTACACAAAGTGTTATGTGTGCTTATATATGTATAATCAGTTACTCATAATTCCAGTCAACTAAGCCTATGACATCTTCTCGCCTGCTCCTCTATCTGGACATATGGATACATGAGAAATTGTGAAAATTTGGGACCCAAGACGCTACTGAGAGGTAGTATATAAATTTACAGTCTTAGTTGACCTTTTTACACGTCAATGTTGGTATTAAGATTACCATCCTTACATTGCATTGGTTTAATCAAAGAACTTGCTTCATTGACTCAACTGATTGCTGTTTTTATGTTTTCTTACACTCATCTTGTATGCAGCCAGTTTCTTATGCACTACTTGCAAGGAGCATCCATGAACTAGCTGCTTCATCCGACCAAGTACGTGTCCTTCCAAATTCAACAGCACTTACTTACATGCTAACGTTTTTTCTTTTAACTTTTTCAGCAGTCTAGTAATATTTACATCATTATGATGTTTTGTTGTTGCTTTTCATATCTTTATGAATTTAATAGAAAATGAATGGAAGCTTTCATTCATTTTTGATAAATTTCTCTCTTCCCTAACTTGGCAATCAAACGGTCGGCTGTAAGATGTGCCACTAATCAGCTTTTACATATTGAAGCTATACTAGCCATAGATATTGAAGATCAAAAGATGGCAGATGAATCTCAACACACACACAAAGGCACATATGTTTACCTTTTACACTTTTGAGCAAAATGCCTGTTTATTTTTGGAAGAGAGTATCTATCTGATTGGATAATCGCTTACTTTCAGTTTCTCTGGCTTTATACAGAAAAAGTCTCAAAGGCAGTTAGTGCATCATGTTTTCCCGAAACTTGCGGTCTACAACTCTGTTGATCCATCTCTGGCACCATCTCTTCTCATGGTGTGAATTTATATGTATTCTCTCATTTCGAATGTGTACTCATTAAGAAGTTTGATGCTCATGATATACAAATATTAGAGGATAACTGATTTCTAGAACCTTGTGTTACATACTATGCGAAACATTTCTAATTTTGGCTATACATATGTAAACTGTGAGATTCATATGTATTTAAACTTGAGGGTCATATGCAGCAACTGAAGATGATATTTGCTTACTTGCTTGAAAATACTTTAATTCCTAGCTTCATTGTAATTTACATTATCGTAAAAGTTTCCATCTGATTTGATCTATGGTCCAGCTATACTTTTTGATGATGGAATGACTCAATTCATGATGTAAAATTTCAGTTCATGAGTTCATCTCCCCTTCTTCTACATTTGTAACTGTTGCTAAGAATTCAGACGAGGAACTTTGATCAGAGAGGTTGATTTCTCCATGAGACCACTTAAACTGTAGTTTATTTTAGATATGCTAGATATCTTGCAGCTGATTTTCTTATGGAAGTCACATATGATGTTCAAATGGAGGAGTCAGAAGTTATATTTCAACTTCTGGTGGTTGTTTTTTTTAGTTCATGTGTAAATGATTTATGTTTTTGTAAGAAAATTGTGTATGCGAATGTGATTAACTCTCCATGAAACTTCACTTTTGTGATTTGAGAATTTTCTAGAGAATGTTAAGTTAGATTCCTGTTTTACTATGCTATAATGCGAGCAAGCACACTTTTAATACTTTTTTCACCATTGATACTCATTTCTGTAGCTTGGTCAGCAATGCGAGGACAGGACTATTCTCCGCTATGTGTATTATTACTTGGCAAGAATATTATCGGATATTGGTTCTCAAGGTTTAACTTCAGGTGGTGGGATTCCTACACCTAATTGGGATGCTTTAGCTGACATTGATGCTGTTGGTGGGGTTACTCGAGCGGATGTTGTACCTCTAACAGTAGACCGGCTTTCTAGCGAGGCACAAAATGCTGATGTGGAATGTAAGCAATTATTTGGTTTAAATCACATTTTTTCTTACTTTCATTTACTTCTATGCCGTTTTTATCTATATGCATCTTTGGCTCTGGTCCCTTGAACTTGAGGAGTGGTTATTCTGATGGTAATAGTTCTCATTAGGCAGTTTTGGTGTCTGATTACATGTGTTCTATCCTTTGTTGGATATGGAGTCTAATTCTAATTCAACATGAGTCCACTGTTTGATATTGGAGGTGGTTTTCATAGTCTTTGTTAGGAAGGATTCTTTTTTAATTACAAAGGAAAAACTATTCAGAACCACAAAAATTCATAATAATAATAATACCAAGGGTAAGTGACCAAAGGTAGCATGGGTTTTGATACATGCACATGAGATTATTGTGTGAATTGAGTAGAATTTATTGGTACAGAGTTCAGACTTATGGACCAAACTGTGTATAAAATTAGGAATCTAGTACTAGTAGATAATGCAAGTACTTAGGATTTGAAAAGATGATTATAAAGGAGAAACCCTATGTAGGGTACTTGAAGTGGGCCTGTGGCCTTAACTATAGTGAACATAAAGGACAAGGTAACACATTAACATCCGTCCCTTAGTTTTGAGACTTGGAGATAGATGTTTGTCGTACCCAACTTGATGTAAATAAAATCAAACAGGCTCTTCCATAGGAGCTTCATCAAACTTCAAACTTGTTCTCAGTTTGGATATGAAAAGGCTGGACCAATGAAGGTTTTGTATGATATAATTATGTACCAAAAAACAATCAACTTCTATGTGTTCGATATTCTCCTTGGAAAATTTTCTTATGCTTATGAATATTTTTTATGAAGAGAATATTATTTAGAGAAAAAATAGACCCTCTGGATGCAGGAATAGCGACATTGTAATAAGAGAGAGCTCTTTATTATATGATTCATCAATAAAATTCAAATTTACAAGAGGAGAGACACTATATATAGACATAATTACATGGGAAACCCTAACCCTAAAGCCCATCGGGCTTGGACACATTACCATAAACAGGTTACTTAATTAACACTCCCCCTCAAGCTGGAGCATATATATTGATCATGCCCAGCTTGTTACAAAAAGATGTGATTCGGTTCCCTGGTAATG